GTGTCAGAAATGCCACAACTCAAAAGTTACAAGCGATGCCTCCAGGTGAAGCTTGCCCCCATTTTGACATAAGTTCTAGTTAACAAATTCATCATCAATCAAAGACACTTTATTGTCTGTCATACTGTGGGTATTAGATCTTTTTAGTAGTGAAGAGCTGAAGAGACTGGAGTATTTCAGCTACTGTATGGACTGAGTATTGTACATTATTCCGTAGGATACCAAGAAACTGTTTAAAAAATCAGCTCCAGAGCTTTGTCTAGGTTGATCAGCCAGCCCCCCCTGCTGGTGTGATAACACCTGCCCTAATCAGAATTAAAGACTTTAAATAAATGAGATATACTTTGGAAGTCATTTTGACTGGGCAACCAACATGGTGTCATCTATATAGTGAAAGCTTTGAATGTTAGAGGGTAGAGGGGCTCACACTAAGTCCTGACCCACTGCTCATCTTTCCAAAGGTGGCAAAACACAAGAGAACTTGTCACATTAGAACTTCTCTATCTATAACTCTTCCCCTATTTGGGATAACCCCCTCTGGCACTTAGGGAAAAATAAAGCTCATTTCCAAGTCAATTACTAGCATACATTCAGTTGTAGAAACAATGACAGCAGTACCCCGGCCTAAAAAAACAACTCACAAGCTAATATTTGTTCTTCCCGGCACTATGAGCCACGTCCAAACCTCATCCATTGAATCCATATGTCCATAACTCATGGGTCTTTATTTTTTCCTTTTCTGGTGATAGAACCCAAGACTTTGTACATTCTAGGTGAGTGCTCTACCACTCACCAGCCTCTTTTTTGAATGAGAGAAACACTTTCCCTACCTTCCCCAGACTATCAGCCATGCAAACATCCCTGAAATGGTAGTCTGATAAAAAGGAAAATATTGTCACAGGATATGAAGATGTGGAGGACCCAAAGAGAATTATCTCCTACCATTAAGTGCTTTTTATATAGTAATAATGAACATTTAAAATGATGATAAATAATACATACATTTTATTGTTTACATTGTTTAAAAAATAATTCCAGCAGCAACTTTAGTGAGCCTATATCTCAATCCCTGATGGGGAGAAGTTTTGCTACTTTGTCATAAAATAACTATAATATTTAGATAGTGAATATCTAAACACGTGTGAATAATCTGAAGTTAACATAGTGATCTACATTGGCACTTCCAATTTCACTATCTTAAATGTGAGGTAAGTTTTATCCAATGATTTTATTTGTTGACTTAATATAATAGATTTTAAATTTACTTCTCTCATGCTGTCTAGAAGCCAACATACAAAGAATAAACACAACTCTCTTTACATTTAAATAATAAATACTTTTTGAGTCCCCAAACCCAGAGAAAGTGAGAAAATCTAATATCCTACCATAAATACAGAAAACAGCAACAGTCAAATTTGTATTCTTTTTGTCTCAGTCCCAAGTCAAATTCATAAATTTGCAGTAATAATTTTTGAGAAGGAGGTAAAATGTATGAATCTGGACAATTTTCATCTGGGGTTTATTTTTGATCCCTATCTCAAATTAACCTCCCAGGGTTTTAAATGTTACAGTACATCATAGGAAAACAAACCTGAGCTACTGAAGAAACAAAGGAAAAACAGAAGTGGCATGTCTGGTTTAGTGAAGAGAGATATAAGCATAGAACAGAAGTCTCCAACAATATACACAGTTATGCTTTTGTTTTGGGGGTTGTCAAGAGGGTTTTAGAAAGAAATTAGAAGTTCATAACAGACTGAATTTATAAACTGCAAAAATTATGACATGCTACTAAAGATATCATGAAATGTTAGAGGAAATTTTTTTTTTGGTATAGTAAGAGTCAACTTGGGCAGAAGGGGAAACTCTTGAGACAGGGCAGGGAGGAGCAAGTAAATGGAGTAGGGCAAATGTAGTACCACATTGCTTTCAGAATTTTTAGGGCCTGTTCAACACTCACTGACTAGAGGTTTAAGGCAAGCAAGTCTACTTCCTTGTGTCATGTGTCAAATTATTTTAGATAGTATGAAAAAATTGTACATGCACATACACATTAACAGCTATGCTATTTATAGCTCCTGTTTTCGATAACTTACTTTCTAGTCTCTCCAAGTGAAATTACAGAAGAATGGTTTCTTCTCTGATCGAATGCCAAATATCTTCATATCTGATCAAATGTTTAACTGTGAATCTTGAGTTACAAAAGTATTCAAGTTAATTTTCAATATATAAGTAAATTTGACAGTAGTAATCTAGTAACCCTCAGTTGTAAATTAAGGGCTATCTGGATAGAGGTTTTCTTAAGCAGTAACTAAAATTTGTACCAATGTACAGTGGCAAGCATGATATCTTAATACACATTTTTCAAACAGCAGTATGTTATAACTCTTAGCCAATTCCTCCTGACATAGTAGGTAATGCCAAGTGTACCTGTTATTAATAAGCTTGCATTCACACAAATATATAGCCTTGGTTACATTTTCCGCTATCTTTATACAATTACTAAAATCATCTATTTTATTTTAAACCTCCTCTTTCTGCTTCTAGCAATTTCTAAGAGGAAGTCTTTAAAGAATTATTCTGGAATCCTATAAAAGTTTGTGGCCTTACCTTCTAACCAAAAAATAAATTTTTTCAAAGCATTCTGCACTTTTGATGTAAAATTAAAGACCAAAACAAAATAAAATTTTTTCCAGACTTTATTCAGGCCTTCCAAGGAAGAACCTTCTTTCAACATCTGTATGATAAGGCAGAGAGGTCACTGTGTTAGAGAAGGCCTTTCCTGGTTGCAGACAGAAAACATCTGGATTTCCAGAGAACTTTGAAAAGGAGGTGACTTGGCAGGTGTTTAAGAAAAAACCAAATTGTTTGTCCATATAAAAATCAGTGTAAAAGTCAGACTTCTGGCCTAACAACACTGGTTTTTTGCCTCAGCCACTTGTCAGGTGACATGCTGCCTTTGTAATGTTGCTGGCTTCATGTCTTCATATCTTCCCTTCATTTTAGCAGTTTTCATCAGAATAAGAATACTAATTTGATTATAGCTGACATCTGGTGGCCCTTGATCTTCCCTTGAATAAATCTACATTTTCACTTATTTTTCCTTTAATAAAAATAGCAAAAAAAATCTGAGCCCTGAATCCTGTTTGCAATTTTGAATTAGATAGCAATTCTCTCTCTCTTTTTTAGTAGATCAGTCATCAAATTTATTTATCATCCATCATAAGCTCAACAAAGCATTTTGGTTGTATAAGTCAATGGGAGTTTACTGAATCCTGACATGATTTAACAAGTAGTTAACATTAACAGCTGAAATATATTGCAAATAATTTATGATATCTTATTTTCTTAACTTTCTCAGAAGTATCATAGCAAGTGCCCTTAATGTTAACTTTTTTATTCAAAAACATAACAGATTAAAAATATGATAGATAGTCTCTTGTTCCCTTTATTTGTAGAATCCCCCTGCACTATAACCATTGGTTTTTGGACTGTTACTTTAAAACCTTTTCTTTCTTTCTGTGAGTATGAGGAGGAACACTAATACTAATAGTTCTATCAAGAGTTCTCTCTCTCTCTCTCTCAAAAATGCTTTATTTAGGAGCACTAAAATTTGAAAAAAATTTACTTGCAAATAAAAATTATATTTTTATTGTGTACATCATGATGCTTTGAGATATGCAATCATTGTGGAAGAGCTAAATCAAGCATATTATTAACTTAAATACTGATCATTTTTTGTGTTAAGAATGCTTAAAATTACTCTCTTTGTGATTTTCAAAGATAGAACGCATTGCTATTAACTATAGTTGCTATGTAATACATCAGATCTCTTGAACTTATTCTTCCTAATTGACCAGTAGTAATTCTTAAATCAGACATAACTGTGCTATATCTGCTACTAATCCCTACCTGGAAGGAATTTCATCAAATACTTAATGGAGTAGGGCTCTCCTATTTACATAATATTCAAATAACATGAATTTAATTAGATTTCCTAAGGCTAATTGGCTTAGGTACATCATTGTGTGGCCTAACTTGTCAGTACATCTTAGTCGCCCTGTCTTTCCAATGTTCTTTCAAAAGGCAGTCAAGAGACTTTGAAATCATAAGAATGGAAAGCTGCATTTATAGCTCCTTAGAACCTTCCCAATTTTAAGTAAAAAATGTGTTTACTCACTTTAAAACCTTTTTAAAAAGCAAATTAATTGTTATTCTGATTATCCTTTCTCATAGAGCTCCACAGAAGTTCATTCTAAGCTATATTGGATAACTCAATTTAACAAAATTCAGATAATTGTATCCTAAATATACAACACTAATATAATTAGTATAGTTTCATTGTAGAAAGGTAGACTAAATTTGGAAATTCTATAAAGGAACAGATATTTCAAGGAGAAGAAAGAGGAGGTTTCAAATAAGAATTTCAAAACTTAAGTTTAAACTGATTTTTCATTTAAACAGTTGAGTTAGAGAATAATACAATAATGATTTTTGTATTATTTTATTCATTGCCACAAAATACTATTTTCCATCCTCAGAAAATTTTTGAAATTTTGAAAAGAAACTAAGAAAAACGCCAGCTTATATGCATTAAGGAAAAGTCAATACTAATTTATTAAAACATTATAAATTTTGAAAAATGACATTTGATTTAAAGTATTATACTTTGCATTATAAAGAATTAAAAAATTATTTCTCTTAGTTATGTCTAGACTTGACTCATAGTTACAAATAGTTAAATATGCAAAATAACCTGCACCTCATTTTAGAGCACTCAAATATTAAGTTTTCACTTCACCTGGGATGAAAACATTCATTCTGTTTTTTAGTGTGTTTGCATTAAACAGATACGTAGCCTCTCACAGCAGCAAATAAAAATTTCCTATAAATGAAACTCTTGAAATATTTTGTGAACATTGGTGTACATAGAAAATTTAAAGGGAACTTTGTAAAACTGATGCAAATTGAATTTTTACATTCTAACGTTATTATTTGTGCAGGCTGCCTTAGAGAAAGAATGGCTAGCTTTAGATTCTACCCGCTTCCCTTCACAAACACTGCTTCTCTCAAACCAGCTGCACTGGCCAAAGGTAACATGTCATGGAAACTTCTGAGTGCTCGATCTTTGCTCATTTCTAAAGGTTATGCTGTGCTGCCATGATTAATAATACAATTTATTGACTCAAAAAACATAATTACTTTTAGAAGCTTTTGACTTCCTCCTCATCCCCAGATGTAATATTTCATGTAGCTTTTCTTTCATTTGCTTCTATTTTTTTTTCTTTATTTTGGATTTCTTTCAACACTTTGTTTCACAGTAGCAAAAAAAAAAAAAAAAGATATGCTTCAGCTGCGTATTTGGCAGTAGACTAAAATCACTAGTTGACAGCACTTTAAAAATACAAAAATATGCATTAAAAGGGCAGCAGCTGAAGATTCTCAGCCAGAGGTCAATGCGCTGCAATATCTGTGATTTATCTGATAATCTTTGAAGTTTTTGTTTGCTGAGATTTTTTTAGATCTTTGCAATTAATCATTTTGTATATGTGAGCAATACCAAAAAGCATATTCTCCACAATTTATAATAAAGGATATTTATGCATATTCAAAATTTTTTTTATCATTTTAATTTTATGCTAAGTTTCCCTGATGAGACTACTTGACAATGTGCATGTAAAATAATACAACATAAATACTGGAATTTTTCAATCTATGTTGCACTTATTTATATTTTTTTCTGATAAGAACTCTGGATCCTTGAAATATGATGATACTTCACTTAATTTACCAAGCTGCCCAGCTCAAGCATGGCTCTGTAATGAAAAAGAGAATTTGTTTTCATTGAAACACACACAGTTAAATAGCAGGTAAGTGAAATGGCTCTTCTAGGGGATCTTTTTTAGAGGATGAATGACAAAAGCATTACATTCCTTATGAAACTAGTATGTACTTTCACAGAAATGTATTTTCATAGAAATATATGTGAATTTATTTGTTTAGAAGATGGAAAAAATTTTTGTTAAAATATGAATTCATGGAGTTTTCAAGCATGAGAAAAATGTGTGAAAAAGAAGCATTGGAGAGCCACAAAGCTTGTGGGCTGGGCATGAGGCAACTAAGTGTCATAAGCAAGTGGATTTCACCACTCCACAGGTAGAGATAAAGGTTGGAATAAAAATGTCAGTGCTGCGTTACTTCCAGCAAAAGGATTGAAATACGACTCACGTAATTGAAATGTAAACATTTTAAATTAATGACAGGCTTTTTATTACTTTTCAAGATAAAGTTCTTCTGTAACTTGAATGTATTTTATTTCTAGGTTTCAGACAACATAAACAACTTGTAGTTTTAAAAAGTGCTGACGTATCCACGTTGACTCAGTTAAAAATCATTTATTTCTTTTGCCAGATCAGAAAATAGAACTTTATCCTGGACACCTGAATCAAAAACAAGTAGAAACAGTTTGCTAAAATCTGAAAAAGAAGAAAAAATTTCAGAAGAATGGTATGTGGTCTATTTTATATAAAAAAATTGAGACTGATAAATATCCTAGTGAGATATTTTTCAGGATTCAAGAATGGCTTTATTAGTTTTTAAGAAACTAAGCATCTGAACAGATTACAGCTTCTCAAAAGGAAATACAAATTTATTTTGGTATGATATAATTCAGGCATGTATATCCATATCTGAATGTTTTCTGCCTTTACTAAATTTGCCTTTCAATAGGGGCTTCAAGGATATTTCTACTGCTCAGCAAATGCTGAAGAGGGCAAAGAAAATGAAATCAAAGAAATTAAAGAAAAAATTAGGTGAGTAATTAATGCTCCTTGAATAATAACTGCATTGCACTGAACAGAGTTCTTTTAAAATATATTTTTCATATTATGTTTGATATGAGTGCACACATGACTATGTCTTAAGATAGTAAGAAATCAAACTGCATGACAGTTAGAGAAAATTATGTTATTATATTGAGTGATTTATTATATTCATTGATTTTAAAATTGTTTCCCTCTGCTTCTTCATTATTTTGGGATTGATTATTCTATCTATTCTGTACTGTGAGGATTATGTTAGAATTTATTTCTAACCTCATTCATTTGAGGCAAGTTTTATTCTAAAAAGCAACTAATTCATGTGCTTTTTTGTGAGTTCATAACTTACATTATTCCAAAAACTAGACATCACATTTATGTATTTTAGCTATTAAGATTTCACAACTTGAAGCCTTGGAAAAGAAGCACAATTTGTACCTTTGAGGATATTAATGATCTATAGCATTCAAAGGTATCCTTTCTCCTTCCTATTTGCCAAACCACTCTTCAAAACATTTACCTTTCTTTGGGCAGCTCTAGTCATTGTAGTATAGCTACTTAACATGTAGATCAATTTGTACAAGTCAGGGCAAGGAATAGGAAGTGTTCATGATTTTATATCTTTACTTAGGACTATTTAATGTTATTTGCTTATTGCACATAACTTTGCATTTACTTCTGGCTTTATAAATTTGTTAATTTATAGGCTCAGTGTATGTAACATGACTTCTTATATTTCTGAATTTTTGTTCAGCCTAAATGAAGTCTGAACTTATCCTGTAGTTCTAGCTTATGTGAACGTGTGAACATATGAAAATTTTTTGTCTTGAGTTTTCTATTTATTACATTTCTATTTTATTATTTTTTATTACTAATTCAATTGAATTCTGAGAACTGATATTTGTTGGCATATCACCAACCAGCCATTGAAAAATAACTGGTGATTAATTTTTTCCATAAATATTTATCTTTCCTTTCTTTGTGTTATGTTAATCCTCTTAATTTCATAATTTATCTTTTTGATAACTGTATAATTGGCTGTATACCAAAATTTTGTCAGGTTTAAAATATTGAAATTTTAAACACTTTGACAGAAAATATAAGGAAATACTGTGCTTTTCAACTGGCTTGTGTCTGCAACACTCTTATTTTGTAAACTATTAAGTTCATCAGGATTATGTGAACTGAATGCTGTGTGGTGGCTACCATTGAAATGGTACTGCCAAACCTTTAGCGATAGTGAAACTCCTTTACTTCTGGGGCTGTGGAATCCGGCAAGACAAATCAGAAGGTTTGATAAATTCCTCAATTGCTTTGGTGTCTGTTTCTATCCATCAATTGCTTTGGTGTCTGTTTTGAAGTCATGTTATGTACATTGAGCCTATAAATTAACAAATTTATAAAGCTAGAAGTAAACGCAGTTATGTGCAATAAGCAAATAACATTAAATCGTCCTAAGTAAAGATATAAAATCATGAACACTTCCTATTCCTTGCCCTGACTTGTACAAATTGATCCACATGTTAAGTAGCTATATTCTCTATATGGTGATGGAGAACGAGTAGGTAACAGGGTGGAGGAGTTAGTTTGATTAAAGCACAATATATACAGGCCTGAAGTGCCAAGGCAAACCCCCCTTGGACTCTCAGTATATACTTAAATGAAGGGCAGGAGGGAAATAAATAGTTCTCCATACATAAAAATGGCAGAATGAAACCTGTTGAAACTGTTGTAAGAAGGGTGGGAGAGAGGTGAAGAGGAAGAATAGTGGAGGGGTAAATCTAACAGATATATTGTAAGCACATCTGTAAGTAACACAATGTGTACCCCTAATAAAAAATTTTGAAAATATAGCTCTTTTGAAAATAATAAAAATTTCTGATATTCCTGGAACAAGTTCAAATGTTCAACAAATAATTATTACCTATTTATGTTCAGGAAAATTTGTTAGATCTATTTTTAAAAGATATTTATATTATCTGCAGTAGCTTCCTACAGTGAAAGCTAAGATAAAAATTTATCTTGTCAGTCAGACTTTCCACATGATTCTTTATCTCTGTAAATATATTTGTCTTTCTTGCTAATTCTTATAAGTGAAAACTTGTTTTGTTTCTATTTAATACTTTTTGGAAAAATCAGCATAGAAAGTAATGTTTTAGGAAAGGATTCTATAAGCAATGTATGCTCATACATAAATGCTATGGCTTTAGTGGCCTCAATTAGATATAATTAGACAAAAAAGAAACTTCTTTCTGTCAGTCACAAGGGGGCAGGTTAGGGTAACAAATGAAAAAGGATACTCAGTAGTCAAACTCGATAACCACATCATTAACTTAGTGTTTTCACAGTGGTCATTAGGCATGCCCTGTTAGGTAAAAATCCCAATGGCAACTGTGCCATCTTATGGGAATTATTACTCTTATTGCATCCCAAATCACATCCATAAAACTGGATGAGATTCTTTGAATATGCTATAATTTTAATTTGCTTTGTTTCATCAAAATAATATTAAATGAATGAAACAAAAGAAAATTCAGATTTTCTTTAAAATCTGAATGCCCAAATATTAAATTTAATAATGAGCTTTGTATTTTCCTCATTCTCTTCCTCCATTTCCCCTTCACAACAGATTTAAAATGTTAAGAGAGGATTAAAAGTGAAAAAGGAAAGGACATCTGAGGGATCTTCTCCAGTTATCTCTTCTATTAGGTTGATGATGTAGCATTTATGTCACTTTTATCTCTGAGTAAATTATTTAAGGTTCTTTTTCATGGGTTTTCTTCTTAAAGAATAAAAATTTTTCCAACCCTTTCCCAACTTTATAATTCATCTCTTCTATGCCATTAATTTACTTGAATCTGTCCAAAATAATAGTCATAATTTAAAAACTTATACTCACTAATGAGCTAGAATAATGTTTTAAATGTTTAAATTCTGTTAAAAACTGTAAAGTTTACTAGAAAATTTCAAAGATGGAGATAGTATGTACCTCTTACATGGACAACTTGCCATCTTGAAATTTTCAAGCCACCAGAGGGCAATATTGTCTATAAAACTGCAGTGGGAGTAGCCAATTCAATGAAGGTAGAGAGAGTGGCAGGAGGGGTGAAAGAGAGTAAAAACTATTAATTAAATTGAATAAGGTATGTACTACAGTCTAACAAAGCAATGATTCTCAAGGAAGTGGAGCAGAATGCACAGAGTATGGAAGCTTTAATTCAAATTTCTGCTATGAAGAAGCACAGAGCAAGTTGCTTGGTAGCAAGCACTTATTGTTTGCTGTTTATATGCTTTATATGTCTTTATTTGGCAAGGAACATAAGTCACAAATATCTTGTTTACGGAAAGAATACAAATAAGGCAAAGAGCAGACAGTTAATCAATTTAAGAAGGTGGTATGCAATGGAATCTTGCAGATAGAGGGAGAACACTGCTGAGAAGGCCGATTAATAAACAAGGAAGGAAATATAAACGTATGTGGACAGCTGTGAGGGGAGACTCAGTATTGATGACTTCTACTGGTATAAGTGAAGCCATCTGCTTTAAAAAGAGGAGATATGGGATAGAAGAGGGAATTGATTGGAAGCCACTGAACGAAGTTCAAAATTGTCAGGTGAATTGTTAGTTCACCTTTGGGTTGTGGTTGTTATTTTTTCTAGGAAGTAATTGCTTTTTCCCTCATGACTGACATCAGCTCAAACCAATAATGATTAGTCTTGTTTTTATGGATTGTTTATTCATTTGTTTGTTTGTTTGTTTTCACTATTGCTTTGTGCACATTTCAGCATTTGGTGACCTGAATTGGAATTTAGCAAATACTGAGAAAAGTTTAGAATTCAGTATTCCAGTGAAGAATATCACATGTAAGGCGAGAGTTACAGGCTTATTGAAAACATGCAGGGTCAATAACCTAAGGGTAGTGAGCATAACTGGTAGCAAGACTGAGATGAACTGGATGGGGAAAGGAAGTGGGTGGGTGGTTTTGAGATAGAGCACTCCTCAGAGAGGAGGAGGTCTGTATGCATGGATTTAGGAGCAGAGCAGCTGACAAAAAGTTTTAAGAGTGAAGAACATGAACATAATGTCTTTTTACCACATTTATCGTATTTATGCTCACTAAAATTTAAGTTTTCATTGAGAAAAGGAAGAGCAAGATTAAAAAGAAAAAGGTTAATGTGGTTGTGAAAGAAGGGCCACAAGTAGAGATAAGAATGACTTTTCAGCTCTTTGTGTCTTCTAACACAGTGCCTGGTACCCAATGATCATTCAATAGTTGTATTCTGATTTTATCTCCATGAAGAAAATAGCTTGAGCTTTACTGAGAACGCTTAATCATAGTCAAGAATTAAGCCGGGTAGAAAATCAAGAAAGGCTCATTTTTTTAATGTACATTAAGCAATTGATGCGGCCTAGGAATGCCATCAGTTTTCTGAATGGTAATGTAACAAAGGACTTGTAAGTGAGAAGGATTAAAAAGGAAGTGCTGCAAAAACTTCAGCAAAATGAAGTTTGTTCCAGATTTATTTTATTCATTACACTAATTTCTAGAAAGAATTTAGAAAAATTTTGATCCAGTGTTAACTTCACTGTGCTCTTAACAAAGCAATAAGAAAGTCCATTCAATATTAAGAAGGCTGAGACACTACTTGGTCCTCCTTGTATTTTGATAATCTACCACCTTGCACTTGGTGGACACTCAATAAATGTTAACCAACTCAACAATAAATTGGGTAAAAGTCATTAATATGTATTTCACAGTGTATAGGTACATGACCGTGTGTGTATTATAGTCACTTAATTATAAGTTTACATTTGGGAAAGTGAATTTAATTAGTAAATGGTATGAGTTATAAGATGAAAAATTCTAGCTAATAATTTAACCTTAACATAAAACTTCTTTATAGGACTGGCACTTAGACAGGGGATGAAATATTCTTATTGATACTCTATTGACTAAAATTATGTTACTTAAATGAGATAATAGGTATAAAGCA